GTCTGGCACTGGAGTCCAGGTGAGCAGTGGCTTCAACCTGTCCGCTGATGAGGCGATGTGCCACCACAGGAGCCTCCAACCAGCCCCGCCAACCTGAAAATGAATCACACAGCCAACCGAACACACAGAGACAACATCCATCCATCCATCCATTATCTATACACCGCTTAATCCTCATCAGGGTCGCGGGGGGGCTGGAGCCTATCCCAGCCGACCTACGGCGAAGGCAGGGGACAGAGACAACAGCAGGATCCAAAACACACAGTGAAACATGTCCATAATCACCACAATAGCTTTGTTATAATGAACAGAGTTCTTTGTACTTGTAGCCATGGTTGGATTATAATGAAGTATGATTCAAGCTATTATGTGTTCTCAGTCTGTATTTTTCCATGAAGCCGATGGTTCTTATAATTAATTAAGTTTCAAGTTACTATGTATTCTGAGTTTGTATTTTGTGCTGAGCCTATGTCCTTGAAGATAATGTGGCCGGTGAGAACCGGTTTGCACACCTGGAGATAGTGGAAACTCCTCTTTTCTACTAGATACGATTGTTACTTTAGCTACACGCCGTACCAACAACATCCACACACACTGCTTACTAAACATCAAGGACGTGGACAGAGCACAGAAGGATGCCTGTCCACGCCATTAGTAACTGACCAATTAAATCTTATCTATGTTGGGGGCAGGCCCAGCCCAAGAAGATATCTGTAACCTGGAACCGAAAACACTCAGTTCAGCTGGACATGAGATTCCTCTCTGTCCCTCTGAATTCCAGCGCTGTAAAACTTTACCTGTGACCTAAATAAATTCTGCATCTGAGAACTGAAGATTTCTCCGGCTTGTTCTTGGGCTTCCAACTAAAGAACCGGATCTAACAGTTGTGCCGTTTCCGCAGAGGAGCAGGATTTTATATTGTAAAGAAAAATGAGCCTGTGGTGAGTAAAAACTGGAAAAAAAAAAAAAAAAACTCCCAGAAATTGGAGTTGAGAGGGTTTAAGGTGCCACTGGTGTTTCACTTCTTTTCCTACAGCTTTGCATTGACATAAAGAGAAATAAACACTTTTAAAGGAGCATGCACTGTTACTATGAATTTATAATTATAGTTTATTTATGGTTTACTACATTGTGAGGTGCTGCCTTCTATAGCAACAGCATCATTCCTATTTCTCTCTGCCATGTCTACAGATGTGATGAATCAATCAGTGTCTCAGTCAAGTCATTTGAAACTAGACGCCAAAAAAAACAAAAACAAACATTAAATTGTGACATTTTTGAACATCAGCTGACATTTTCACATTTTAAACTTCTCCCTCCACTTTGGCCCCAGCAGCTGCCAGGGGCCTAAAAATAAGTAATGACTTTAGATTGTAGGGGTTGTCGGTGCAGTTGACCCACAGGGCTGTTGGCTCATTAATCTCAGTAGTAAACTCTCTCATGTTTGCAGTGTGGCCCTGTGAGCAGAGGGACAGAAAACACCCCTGCTGACTGTACTTACACCTTGCTCCTGTGGAAAATGCACAGTATGCATTCTTCCTATGCAGAGTGATTCCTGCAGTCGCGTCTATAAGAAAAATCCCACACTGACTGGACTGAGCCAACACAAAACATCAAAGTGTGGGGTTTACACCATTCCCCACATACTCACTACTTTAGTTCCCCTCCCTACGCTGGATGTTCAGTCTAGCGTGAGCTCTGACATTGATTTCTAGTTCAATAGACTTCTGAGTGAAGCAGTGGGCTGTGTGGGGAGCAGCACAGCATCCACGAGGAGCTCTGCTTCTCTCGGTTGCTCTTAATTGCAACGTCAGAGTCACAAACAACAATTTGTTGAACCTGTGGGAACCATTACTACCACTAGTGCACAAGAGGTGCTGAATGAACGGACAAACCCTCCACATGTAGGCTGATGTGCTTGTTGCTGCACAAGTCATATACTGTCATTTCTCAACTGTCTGTGAGTCTTATTTTATTTTCCTAATTATATGGCATAGAAAGTTCAACTACAGTTTTTAGGAGCAGTTCAGTAAACCCAGTTTCAAAGGCATGTTAGCTTTTTTTTTTTTAACTATCACTGAAATTACACAATTTTTCAGTCAGAAACAGTAAAAACAGAAAGAACTGTTTGCTTCATGGTTAATCATGTTGATGGTCTGGTGGTTCTGTTAGAAAAAACAAAAACAAATCTAACTTAGAGTTGTGATATTTTACCAAAAGCAGCTCAGTTGTGACAGAAATCTAGGGACTGGTTGGTTAAACCACCAGCTGTGTTCACACAGAGCAGAGAGGAGACGAGTATAGAAACCAGTTACAGACACTGAAGTACAGCTAGTTTGATTATAACAAAGGTGGCACGAATAAAAACGATATACAGAGGAGCAAGTTGTCAGCATTGTTCAGCCTGGTGAACTCTCTCTTTGGAGTTGATGTGCACAGTGTTGTTGAGTTTGTGGCAGCTGTAAAACTGTAACTACTAGGAGCAGTCACCATTTTCCCAGTAACAGTCTTTGATTCCAGGTTTTTTAACCTGGTTTTGTAAAATATAGACTCAAAGAAATGCAACGTTTCTTTTCTTTCCATGATTGTGTGCATTATATCTATACAGATATCAATGGTTGTGTTGTTTCTACTGAGGAGGAAAGAATGCTCAGAAACTATCTGGAGTTAAGAACGGTGATGTTATTACCTACAAAATTAAGAAATAACACTTCCCCTCAAACAACTTTTAAACGTTGACACTGTGTCTTAGGCCAAAGTGCTGCTGCTCCTCGTCCCATAACTGCTTTAAGTTTGGTCGTGTGTATTTACCATGTAAATTCTGTGCGACATTCATTTCCCTGTTATGATATTTTCTGAATGTATTCTTAGCCCAGTAGAATGCTTTGGATCATTGTCCTGCTGAACAATCAAATTCGTTAACTTGACAAGTTTTCAACTTCTTCTTTCCACCTCTTTAAGTTTGCTTGCTGAATTCCTCTATATACTTCAGAGCTCATAATTCCACCAAAAATATAAGTTTACCAGCACAACTGTAAGACAAACAGCCTCAGACTTCAACAGCCCAAATCTGAAGTCTCTCCTCCTTACTGCCCTCAGCTCCATGTGACTGGGTCTGGACTCACTGGACAGTAACACACATGTCTCAGCGGTTCTTTTTGGTGATAATAGTTTGTAGGGTCACCGGTTTCTTTAGCGTTTAAGCTTCTCGGAGAACTCACCTTCCCCTCTCCTGTCCTGTTCCAGGCCTTTGGCCAGGCCTATTCCACCCAACGTAAGGTAGCAGCGGATGGAGAGACCAACGAGGAGACGCTGCTGCAGGAGTCTGCCAACAAGGAGGCCTACTACATGGGCCGCCTCCTGGAGCTCCAGTCTGAGCTGAAGCACAGTCGAGTCACCGCCTGCAACGCCCAGGCCGACAGCGAGCACCTGAGCACCGTGCTGCAGGAGCTCAGGGAGGTACAGTACCACTGTTAGGGTACCTAATGGAACCAAATCCTAGAAAACCAGCTGCATTGGACAGAACAGGCCAGTCATTTACCAAACAGTGAACTTTCTTACCAAGGCAGATAACAAGCGTATCAAATTTTTCATTATGTGCAGTCGTGTGTTTATTAAAACCAACAGAATGTGGTAAAGACTTCCTCAAAGTTTTCTGAGACTGCGTGCAGCTTCAGCTTTCTTTTTGTACTGTCTCAGCAGAGTAACGAGATGTTGGAGCTGCAGCGGAGTCGGATGCGGGAAGAGATCAGAGAGTACAAGTTTCGGGAGTCACGGCTACTCCAGGATTACTCCGAGCTGGAGGAGGAGAACATCTCTCTGCAGAAACTGGTGTCAACGCTCAGACAGAATCAGGTGCAGATTACACGCATGCATATAGTTTGTGATTAAAAATGTTAAAGTCTTGCCTCAGTTCAACATTCACAGTGTAATAGATTTAAAACTTGTGATGGAACATTATCACATGATTGAAAGTGTGACTGTTACCCACAGTGTCATGAATCTGTTAAACCACTGATGTGGCAGTTTACATCTGATGCACCAAATTTTAATGTTAAAATTAAATAAGTTAAGTAAAATCTGATAAATAGAACTGTGTCACAGCATTAGTATCACCCCTCATATATCCTAAATTGTAGCCTTTATAATTTGCTAATTAAATTGCTTTAAAGAAGCGATTTTGAATTGAAATCGATTCATCACTTTGCTGATGTGACTTCTTTAAGACTTCTTTATACTCTTTCTACGGACTCCACGGACGCAGAGTTGTTGTTAATATACTGATATCTTGCTGGGATGTGCTGTGATTCTCAGTCTGACCTCCTGGTGGCAGTACTGTCTAACTGTAACATTGTTCAGACTCAGACATAATGCTACAGAAACATGTCTTTCTTTCTGCTTCCAGATTTAGTTCAGACTTAGTTACAACTTTCCTGGAAAACATAAACCTTTTGCAGGCTGTGTGCAAAATAATAGAAACATGAAGTAGTCAGTCCAGACTGGGAAGGATTTATCTGTTTGGAAAAACAACATATTTACCTGACACATATGGGCGGCTGTGGCTCAGGTGGGAGAGCAGTTGTGCTCTGATCCCAAGGTTGATGGTTCAATCCCCTCCACAGCTGAAGTGTCCTTGGGCAAGACACTGACCTGAAGTTGCTCCCAGTGGCAGACAGCAGCTTGCATGGCAGCTCTGGTGTATGAATGTGTGTGAATGGGTGAATGAGGAACACACTGTAAAGAGATTTGAGTAGCACCAAGGTAGAAAAGTGCTCCTTCACCATATGTAACTGATATCATTTATTCTAAACATGTCATAATGCAGATAGATTTTGTTTCTGTAAATGTTATAAGTGACATGATCTTACTGTAAATTATCTGTCTGATGACCAGAGAAAAAGTTCAATATTTAAAAAGCAACCCATGCATTTGAGGGATCATCTACGTGTTGTTCCATGGTTCAGGTGGAGTACGAAGGTCTGAAGCATGAGATTAAGGTCCTGGAGGAGGAGACAGAGCACCTCAACAGCCAGTTACAGGACGCGCTGCGTTTGAAGGACATCTCAGACGCCCAGCTGGAGGAGGCTCTGGAGTCTCTGAAGACTGAGCGCGAGCAGAAGAACCACCTGCGCAGAGAGCTGGTCCACCACCTCAGCATGTGTGACGTGGCCTACACTGGCAGCGCACACCTAATGTTCAGCTCTGCTCCACCGAGCGGCACCGCCACCCCGACTACTCTGCTCTCCCCAACAACAGAAGACCCAACAAGGTGGACACTTCTTAGCTAAACGCAAAACGCATTTATATCCTACTAATTTACTTTGTTTGTTGTTTTAACTACTTAAATATGGTTAGAATGGTCTGAATAGTAATTCCAGCAAAGATTAGACACATAGAAAGCCATTTTACATAAATAAAGAAATACAAACACTTTGACAGAAGACGATGGATTTCATATCCTCCATATCTTCATGTTGTTAGTCCTGGGTCTCTAGAACTCTTTGTTGAAGTCAGGCAAAGATAGGGATTAAACCAGTCAGTGCATCCCATTGCATATTACATTTACATTGCAATAAGCCCGGGGCTATTTTATATTTTTCTGACTGAAAAAAATCCAAAAGAACACCCAAGCCAACAAAGTATTAGTCCATCCTTCTGTACATGTGCTAGCTGTACTCTTGTCTATGGCTCTCAGCTTCAAGCCCATTGGTCTCTTCTGCAGACATAAATCATGAATGTGTAGTTTAATAAGGTAGAGACAGTGTTGAACAAACATTCCTGAAACTACAGTGCAACAGAGCAGCTCTTGGATGTTTTGAATGAAACGCTATGGAAACAAGATGTATCGGGCTTTGATGCACACACAGAACCTGTTGGTCGATAAATCCATTGTTGGTTCGGCTCTGCACATGGGATTCATTGGCAGGATGAAAAGCTGTATATCACCAGGCTTCATCTATGACCAAGTGCTCTACCTCGCCGGCACGGAACCATGAAAACAAAACTGATGGAATAAGTTCATTGTTACATTTGGACGAGTTGATGAACATCATATTCACACATTTCCTTAAAAACATCACATTTATTTGTAAATGTGGGGGAACCCTTTATCACAAAACTCCATTCTGAGAAATTCATTTTGCAGTCACACTTTATAGTCGACGATGCACTTTGGTGCCAGTCAAACTATTCAGTGATAGCTGTCAAAGGCCAGGTCGTAAATCTCACTCGTTTTCTATTTGCCATGTGGAAAGCAAATGATCCTAAAGCTGCTGTACTCGACTGTGATTGGCCAGGTGCAACGGCCACCTCCAGGGCGGGGCAGGGACGGCTGCAGGGTCGGTGTCCAGGGCGAACGGAGAGTGCCGAGGGCCGAGCCGGAAAGCTGAGGGGGCAGCATCATCAGATCTGTTTAGTGAGATGAACCTGACCGAGATTCAGAAGCTGAAGCAGCAGCTGATGACGGTGAGTGTGCTCTCTGATCAAGGCATATAGATTGATAGCACACACATGCTTTTAAGGTGAGTGTTTTATAATGAATTAAACACATGCAAAATAAATACGTCAGCCTGAGAGGTTAGTCAGAAGTCTGATTTATAAATACACACATGTGGTGAGGGCACTTCTTACTGATTGTGCAGACAGGAAAATGAATTAGAAGTGAACTTATAGCTGTATTGGGTTTTGAGTGTCAGAGATTTGCTGACTAGACAGAATCAAGCGGAATGTGAAACTAGATAAACAGCCAACTTTAAACTAAGACAAATATGCAGAAATAGAGAAACAAAGTGGGGACAGTGAGGACCGGCTGTCGCCTGACAGAGATCATAGGAGCGCAATTAAACTCAGTTCATTTTTATTTGTGTAGCATCAATTCACAACATCACAGTAAGATGAAGACCTTGCTGTCTTATATTCTGGAGGGAGACGCAACACATGTATGATTCCTTTTGAGCGACAGCAGAAAGACAAAAACCCTTCTAACAAAAAAGAAAAACCATGCGGGCAGAACCAGGTTCTAGGAGGGCGGCCTTCTGCCCTGAATGGTTGGACTGATGATAAAATGGAGAGAGAAGCAGACAGCAGAAAGAAAACAGACAAACAACACATAAGAGACAACAGACACTGTGGGGAAGTCGGTGAGAACAGTGACCGTAGAGCAGAACCCTGCAGCTCCACAGCCAGAGGTACCTGGACAGAAGGATTTCAAATTCTGTTCTGGATTTCACAGTACTAGTCCTGGACTAATATCTTGAAAACTTGTCAAATGCAAACACAACAATCTGGGTGGCTAGACATCAACCACGAGGATCAACCATGCACAATGGGAGCTTGGATCACAGCATGAAACTATGAGAACAAACAACATACTGAGGAAGGCAACGTGGTTGTTCCTCTGGGGTACGGATCTCAGATTTGGTATTGATTCATTTGTGTCTTCTCTGTTTTAAACTTGGGTAGAGGTTGATTAAGCAGAGCCAGGGTCTGTTGTTCACCTGGTTCACCTGTGGTAGGTTGAAAACTGTGTCAGCATTACTGAAGCTCACATACTGGCCCTTTGTTTAACGCGTTATTCTTCACGTGTCAATCTGAAACAGACAGAAAAACATACATTTTCCATAACAGTAAATTTAAACAACATTTTGTCTGCGATAATCATAAACTCAAGACAGTTAGATTCTTTATTTTCATTGTCTTTTGGGTTCATAATCCAGTAGCTGACTCCTCTTTAAATGCTTTTGAATAATTTACTGTGAACCATGCTGACATACAGTATTCCTACTGCATCAAGGACTCTGTCACTCACTTTCCTGCTTCCCGCTCTCCTCCTCTTACCTCCATCATCTCTTGTTTTTTCCTTTGTCTCACACATTCCCAAAATCTCAGGGCACTTCTCAGACCTTAGAACCAGCTGCTTAGTGCTTCAAGCCATGCTCAAGTCAGAACTCAGAAGCTGTATTTTGTGTGTATACACACATCCGTGTGCTTGTGTAAATCTGTCTCAGTTCCTGTTGGTGTAATTCCATCCATTCCTGCTACTTGCAGGCGCTTTGATCGGCTGATCTGCAGGAAAAGCTTATTTTTATCTCAGCTGACACACTACACTATCGACCCTCTCTAGTACATGGGTGGGTTTCACTGCTGCCTCTGATGCTGTATTTGGCTGTTTTTCAATGCTTATGAGTCCACTTTCTTACCACAGCATTGTTTCCTTTCTCCTGATTCACTTTAATTATTCACTTCAGTGTTAAATGTTAATAAGTGGAGTGTCATGCCAGAGATATGGACCCATGTTTTTTTTTTCAAATATATTTTTGTCATGAAGGAGTCTCACTGCAAGAGTGAAGAGTTCACACGGTGTTGATTAGGTCTATCAGTGTCCTCATCTCTCCGTATTTCACATTTTCGAATTTTAAATCTGCCCTCTGTGGTGACATTTTCTCACTGGCACATAGCGAGCACTTTACATAAACTAGTAATTTTTGGGGGCTGCACAGTGGAGCAGTGGTTAGCACCGTTGCCTCGCAGCTAGAAGGTCGCCGGTTGGTGTCCCGGTGAGGACACCCGGGATCTTTCTGCGTGGAGTCTCCATGTTCTCCCCGTGCAGCGTGGGTTCTCTCCGGGTTCTCCAGCTTCCTCCCACAGTCCAGAAACATGCTGAGGTTAATTGGTGATTGTAAATTGTCCGTAGGTGTGAATGTGAGTGTGTTTGGTTGTCTGTCTCTAAGTGTAGCCCTGTGATAGACTGGTTACCTGTCCAGGTGAACCTGCCTTCACCCTGAGTCAGCTGGAATAGACTCCAGCCCCCCATGACCCTGGTGAGGATTAAGAGGTGTATAGATGATGGATGGATGGATGGATGGATGGATGGTAGTTATTGGTTTGCCAGAGGTGAAGAGGGAATAAACTGCAGCAATGGAGACAGTGTAGGCTACAACAGCCAGGAGTGTAGTTGAGCCAATGGAAGCACCCAAGGACAGTTCAGCGCTCAGTTCAGGGTGATAGCAAACACATAGAGCAGACTTCATGCGGTAAACATGCATTAGCAGTTTTTCAGTAATTACCTTCACTGCTATAGGGAGGAGACAAGGTTTCACTCTGTTTTCAGCAGAGGTTGACATTTTTTTGTCAAGTTCCTGTGACTCATTTGATTGAAAACGTCAATGGCAGCAGCAATCCTAATATCAGCAGGTCTATTTTCTTCTGTTGTAGTCTTGATTCTCTCCTGGCTGCCCTGGAGTCTGGCAACTGCCTGATCAGTGCATGGCACAGCTTCCAAAATTCAAAGGCCAACAATGGAGTTAGATTTGAGAAGAAAGCATTGCACCGCAGAGTAAAAGACAATTATCCGTGCAGCATGTGGACAGAGATTGTGAGCCAGTCGGAAGTTTCTAAGGATTGTATGTGATGAGTGTTAAAACTCCATATGCTGTTTGGAGGACATGTGAAGTTGTCAAATTTACCACTGACTTGTGGATAACTAGTCTGTGCAGACAGCCAAAAATAATCTCTTTTGCAAAATGTTAGAAGCCAGTGGTGGTCGAGCGTCAGCTGACTGACATGATTGCTGGCAGATGCAGCCAAGATTTGAGACCCTTTGCTGTTGTAGAGGGACAAGGCTTCATTCGTTGTAAGATGTCTTGCTAAGTGCACGTACAGTTTATCACAATGTTGATGCTGAGTGTGAAAAGTGAGGAACTATGTTATTAAGGAGTTCCAATAGGTTGATCACGACAAACATTATTATGTTTAACATCCTGCTGTTACTCTCTAAATGGTGTGAGTTTAAAAAAGTGCAGTAGAACACAACTTAATGTAAGAAAGGAACGGAGAGAATCAAATCTAAATTACTGCATTGCCTAAAGATTGTCCAACAGGGGGTTGGGACAGGACAACATGTTTTTCTTTACTCTGTCATGGGAATGGAGTTTTTGTGCAGGATGGATGGGACAGGAGTGAAACTCTACTCCCATGTTTCAGTTCTTTATGTCAGTAAGAGGAGTGTTTTATGTTGAATAGTATGTCTCTGGATTGATAAAATGGTTCTACAGCCATAATAACAGTCAGATAGATCACACCAAAGAGTAGTCATGTGATGTAACAAAGTCACCTGGCTGCAATCAAACTGTTTGCAACCTAAAGTCAGCTATGAGGCCATTCCTAATCTTGCTGTTGCTCCCCCTCAGGTTGAACATGAGAAGGTAGCATTGATGACCAGCCTGCAGGAGTCCAAGACTCAACTCCAGCACACACAGGGGGCCCTGACTGAGCAGCATGAGAAGGCCCTGCGCCTTGGCAAGAAGGTCACTGCCCTCCGCCGCCTGCATCGAAAGGTCAGCCATGAGGCCCATGGCAGTGCTACCTCGCAGCTCAACTCTGAAACCCTGATGGAGCTGGACAGAGACGAGGAGGAGACTGAAGAGGAAGGAGAAACTGACGAGGAAAAGAATGAGGAACGGAACAGAAGTCGAGTATTTTCATACCAAACTCCAGGTCTGGAGATCCTGCAGTGCAAATACCGTGTGGCTGTAACAGAGGTGGTGGAGCTCAAGGCAGAGTTGAAAGCCCTCAGAGAAAGGCTGGCTCACAGTGGGGAGGGAGCATCAGAGGAGAAACCAAGGCGAAACAGTCAGTTCCAGAGGCTGGAGAGACACGTCGCCTCTTTGGAGAAGAGCTGCCGGGAGGGTCGGGAGAAGGTAATCCTGTCACTCTGACTGTGTGTCTCTGAGTAGGATAAGAGGTGTTTACATTTACATTTACAGGGATGAAATGTTTCCTGTCTTCTGCCAGATTTCTGCCCTGGAGTTGGAGTTGCAGACGGCTCAGCTAGCAGCCAGTGAGAGCCAGGGGGCGCTGAACGCAGCTCAGGACGAGCTGGTGACCCTGAGCGAGGAGCTTGCCCAGCTCTACCACCACGTCTGCCTGTGCAACAACGAGACGCCCAACCGTGTCATGCTGGACTACTACAGGTGTGACTGTTTGACTCATAGGACACCTGCAGAATCACTTCAGGAAACTCACATTAGAAAAGGGTTGGTTGTGAAAACACAGCACCTTGGATATAGAATTTTAGCCCCAATCCATTTATTGCACTTATTGTTATGTTTGCCTTAAAGGATAATTCAGTTCCCTTTAATGTTGATATCATGGCTCTATGGGTCTTGCTCACTTTGCACTGTTCACCTCTGTTGTACAGATTTAAGGAAAAAATGAAGTTCCAGCTATTTAAATTTGCAAGGCTACCTTTCTGGACACTCGACAGCTAAATGCAGTCGAGCATTCGCTCATGGACGATGATGATGAGAACAGTTGCATGTCATGTATGTCATGTGTGCACAAGATCGCTGATGCAGTTAAAATGACTGCTTCTGCTCCACAGCAAAGCTTCAACAGGTTCAAAAAAGTCTAACTTGCTATGCTTGTCTTATAGACAAGGCAGGGGGCTCAGGGGCCTCAGCGCCAGTCTCAAAGCCATGTCCTCGGACAACAGCAAAGTTCTCCTCACACCACGCCTAGCCAGGCGGCTGGCCGCTGTCTCTTCAACAACCTCAACTCCAGGGGAATCACGGAGCCCGTCTGAGTCTCCATCCAAAGAGCCCCTTTCTGGAGAGGCAGTAAGAGAGGAGAAGGAGGCAGACAGGGAGGGCCTTCAGGTGCCGTCTGAGCCAAGCCTGCCGCCCTGCACACCTCCTACCCGTTCACCCAGCATCAGTGCCTCTTCATCGTCCTCCTCCTCCTCATCGCCTGCCCTGGAGCCTGCTGGTGAGCTGCGCAGGGAGCCCATGAACATCTACAACCTCAACGCCATCATCAGAGACCAGGTAGAACACATGCTCATGTTGTGTGAGTGGAGTTCCTGCTCTCCTTTCTCTCCAGTGTTAAACTTTGCTGTTCACCCAGTTTTCTTCAGGCTCGTCCTGTTTCTCTGTTCTATCTGTCTTTACTTTCCTTCCTCTCTGCTCTCCCGCTCTTCATCTCTGGCTGATGTGGTACTTCTAGTGGTCTTTTCTTATCTTGCTTTTTCAGCTGTGTGTTATTGTTTCTCTCCTTCCTCCTGTTCATCTCTTGTCTTCCCCTACAGATTAAATCCGTGCTTTTGGCCAAACTCCTTGTTGTTTCTCCTTCACTCTTGTTGCTTTGATCACTTCCTTTTTTCCTTTCTCCTCTCTGTGAAGTAAACCACCTTGTGTCCTATTATCTCCTCTTGTCCTCATCTCCTCTTCCCTCCACCTTCTGCCTGTCCTCTCCCAGGTGAAGCACCTGCAGCGGGCAGTGGACAGGTCCCTGCAGCTGTCCAGACAGAGAGCTGCAGCCAGGGAACTGGCCCCACTGCTGGACAAGGACAAAGAGGGCTGCATGGAGGAGATCCTGAAGCTCAAGTCTTTACTCAGCACTAAGAGAGAGCAGATAGCCACCCTCAGACTGGTGCTTAAGGCCAACAAACAGGTGAGATCACATGCAGGGCTGTGAATACTGACAAAGGTAAAAAATATGTTTTAAACAATGTGTCAGGCTTTACTGGAGATCCAACGTGAGTTATTCTTAGAAGAAAATATCAAAATGTCCTGATGATAGTGTGCTGGTAACAGTGTGTGGGAGGGAGAAATGACTGGCTTCTCCTCCTGTATTGTGCCTCGTAGTTTGGTGGCTGCTGTGGAACAACCTCTAATTTACCAGAATAAAAAAGCCACAAGGCCAGATGCTGGGATTGTGTGTTACTGTATTTGGCTGTGTTGTTTGTGTTCTGTCAGCTACTGTGCTTTCTCAGACTACTGGTGCATGCTCACTGGTAACCCTGAATTACATGCTGTCACAACATTACATTTTTCTGTAGTTCTGCTTTCTGGTAAGAAGCAAATGAAGGCGGTGATGCTGCAGTCTGCTGGAACACGATCCAGTCTGTCAGTAGAGAGGTGTTAACGGCTGGACCCATACAGGTCCAGTCTGTTGTGTTTCTCAGAGGTGACACACCTCCAGCGACACACAAAATCAGCTCTTACATTTTTATTTTTATTTATTTTTTACACAAAACATCATTGAAAATAAATTTGAATTCAGCATGAACAAAGATTACATCTTGCAGTTCTCCCACAAAGAGCTCCTCCTGTTCCCTCCCTTCTCCTTCTGCCATTTCTGGCCGCCTGCACTTCAACCCTCTGAATGGCAGCTTTGAAACGCATGTCAGCCTCAATGTTAAGCCACTTAAAATCATCATCTGTCAGAGTCAGAAACAACAAAAACTAATGAGCACTTTTTCATCTTTGCAACTGTCCTTGAACTAATCACAGGTGATGTGTGGCTCCGTCTGGAAGATGTACTACATTTAGGTGTGAAATTGTGATCATCGAAATTCCTCTCCACATGTCTCAGGCAAAGACTCTCCAAAAACAAATCATCTGCCCTAGACAGTGTAAAAATGAAATATTCCTACTCCTTAGCATAACCAAGAAGCTAATAATGATTTTGTAATGAAGTGAATGAACTGCAGGCTGTGTTTAGACTAGAGAGGACAACAGGAAGTCAGGGTACAGAACAGGAAGTTGGAACATACATTCAGCACGATGACATTTCTTTCCAGTTGGTGTGCAGAGTATTGTAAAGAAAAGAAACTGAATTAAAGAATTAATAAAGAATCCATGGGATTACAACTTAAAATACTGCACAGAAGACATTTCACAGTTCTCTCTACTCCTAGTCATTGTTGTTCTGTTTCCATTGAGGTGTATTTTATATTGCAGTGAAGAAGGAGGAAAAAAAATACTACGAAAGTTTAATCACAGGTAAAATTCTTAAACTAGTGCTGCAGTATGCAGCTACTATCCATCCATTGTGGCATCTCTTCCTCTTCCTGGTTGCCTACATTGTGTTTTACTGCAAAGAACACTGAATACCTGAAACATGTGTAACATGCATGTGAAAAGCATTTTCCTGTCAGCTGTATTGCAGCTTAAATACTAAAATACAGACAATAGCTCGTGCCAGATCACAGTATTAATGACATTACCCAGCTATAAACAAATGCAGCAGAATTTTTTATGACATTCTGGTTAACTAAATCAAGGTTCCGACCTAGTTGGTTCCTTTCAATTGAAGGATGTATGACCAAAACATTATAATCAAATCAACTGCAATACTGATCCTTTTCCTTTACCACCCAGATCACAGAAGGTAGTGTACAGGAGTAACATTGCACATGTTGGTTCGTCAAGAGACTGAGTGAAGCAGCTCACATGTCATGTTCCAACTTACTTATGCTTCCCTTAAACCAACAGGGTTCGTTGAAACACTCACTCAAATCCCCAAACCTTTCATATATTGCTGTTAGTTTATATTATCTGTGTATGGTTTGTATGAGTTCTCCCAGTCATGTGTGCATTACATACAGGACGAAGGCCAGAGTTACCGCTGTCCACTCACAGAACATCTACTTCTGCATCAAGTGGAATTGTGATGCCTGTACGAGTTTGCACTTAAACACATGGTGTATAAACAAATGGTGTAAACAGTTGCATTGCCACATTGATTCAGCCTGCACACAGCACTGAAGACACACTCAGACAGTTGCTGTCATGCAACAGCTGTGCAGTGTCTCTCTTCTTGGATGTGGCTCACCGGGATGTTGCACTTCCAGGAGAAGTGAGATCTTAGTTTCTCATCAAAATGGAGGGAAGTGAGTTGGAAAATGCAGAAAGCAGGATTTCTGATGGCTGTAATGTGTGTTCACTCAGACGGCGGAGGTGGCTCTGGCCAATCTGAAGAGTAAGTATGAGGCAGAGAAATCCATGGTGACCGAAACCATTATGAAGCTGAGGAATGAGCTGAAGGCCCTGAAGGAGGACGCTGCCACCTTCTCCTCTCTGCGAGCAATGTTTGCCACCAGGTCAGACACAAAACTGAAGTACACCACCCATTTTTAAACATTTTTGGGGGGATTAATAACTCAAATGACTGTACATGTATAAAGTATTGTCAGTGTTTTGTTTTGTATTACCGTGACATGGAACTGCATGTGGTTCAGACAGTATTCCCAGTACACTGTGTGTTGGGGCGAGTTCCCCACAACAGCTTCTGAGTCCTTAAACCACCAAAAAGTCAAATAATGAATAACGAATCCTAAATGAATAAGTTCAGCTTTGCCATTCTTGTTCACTCCTCTTTAGGACCACTCTTGTGTCTGTGATGTGAAGCTACTGCCAGTCACAAGCTAGTTTAATTTAGCACAACGTGGCCAGCTCTGTCTAAAGGTGACAAAATGAAAGTCAAAGACAGACACAGACATCCAAATGACAGCAGGCTTCTCATCTAACTGCAAAGGGAATAAGCCTGTTCTGTTGAAAATGTCAAGCTTTTCATTACATTTGGGTGCTTTTTTTCATCTTACTTGTTGTCATTTCTACATTTCTATTTGCTCGTTTTAAACCTTCTTCACTGAGTTTCTCTTTCCAACTGCTGAAACGTCTGCAGGTGTGACGAGTACGTGACCCAACTGGATGAGATGCAGAGGCAGCTGGCTGCAGCCGAGGATGAGAAGAAGACTCTGAACTCGCTCCTGCGGATGGCCATCCAGCAGAAACTCGCCCTCACCCAGCGCCTGGAGGATCTGGCCTTTGATCAGGAGCAGTCCCATCGTACCCGGGGGGGCAGGCTGACCCGCGGGAAGACCAGCACCCCCAAAGTAAGTCACCCGGCCTCGGCCTCGGCTTCGACATCCAACCAAGCTCAAAGCTCCACTTCAGCTTTGGCCCCTGGCAGCCTCCCTTCTACCCTCACTAGTCCTACGTCGTTCCTCCTCGATGACCCCTCTGCCCCTCTTTCTCCTTCTGTGGTCAGTGCGGCCGCTGCAGCTCTGGCCTCAGCCCTCACCTCCCCCACATCGCACATACCTGTCCGCAGTCCGTCGTCGCCATCGGTCGCCTCACTGTCTGGCCTTTCGGTGCCAGAGAGCCCCCCTTCTCTGGAGGCCCCCTCTTCTCCCTCGACGCAGACCCACTCACAATCAACCCCTCTGAGGCTGGCCAGCTCCCAGTGGACTCTGGGGGTTCGGACGTTTGTGGTTGACTCCCACAGTTTCAGTGTCAACCTCTCCCCTGCTCCGTCCCGTAGCTCAGACCTCCCCAGGCACTACACCTCAGACACTCACCCCTCCCCCCCGTCCACCGCCGCAAGGCTGGCTCCCCCAGGATCAGCCCCCTCGTCCCCCTATCGCTCTCCTGTTCTGGGGCTCAGGCGCTCCACGTGGAGCCCCTCTGCCCGAACTCGGCCCCTGTCCAGCATGACACGCTCTTCTGTCCTTTACACTCCTTCCTCATCCTCCCCTTACTCCTCCTCTTACTCGCCCTCTTCCTCCCACAGCTACTCCTCTGCCTACCACAGCTCCCCTTCTGCTTTTACCCCATCTAGCTCCTACCTCACCTCTGGCTCCTCATCCTCCTACAGCCACTCCTCCCACTACACACCCCTCTACCCCAGATACTACAGCTCCTACCGGCCCCGGGAATGACCCTCCACTGTAAATCCTTTACTGTAAGCCTTCACGGCTTCTCCACCGAGCTCCTTACTGACACTAAAACTGCAACTCCCATCATTTTTCTCTTTTTGTCACCTGAGAGAGTAGGGGCTCACAGAGTGGAGGACAGAGTGGTTTCCTGTTTCCCAGTTCCTGTTTTCCTGTGCCTAAGCCTTGGCTAATGGGTTCTGAATGTTCAATGACTTTGCTCAGGGATTTGACATAAGGAGCACAAGCGGCCCCGCCTTCCTTTTATTCTGAGACTGCTGACCGGTCCACAGGAGGACATTAATAGAGACTTTTTAATGAGCGTTTTTAGCGTTTAGGTTCTTCAGGTTGAGACTACAGATGCATGAAGCGATTAAAAACCCAGAAACATTGAGACATTGACTGGACACTTGGCAGACACTCATATGTTCAAATGAGGGTCATGATACATTAGATACCATCCTCTATACTCAATGTAATATCCACACTGTTTAAATGGTAGTAAGTCACATACAATGTATACACAAACACTGTAAACCACACGCAAGCATTCTCTTTTGATTTTCAGAAGGGCTCAGTATGATTCAAACAAGGGTGGGACACAGTGATGGCACTAATGATAACGCACACTTTCTGAGAGCTTCTTTTCAAAGTCATTCGTGGAATCGCGCTCTGTGATGGTGGCAGTTATGAGGAGAATAGAACGAGGTAGCCTACTTTTTTTTTTTTTCTGCACAGCTGATCAATCACTGCGACTTGCTTGCCTGCTGGACTGTGGTCTCAAAAATGTCCACCACTCCCCCGTTCCAGTGTGCGTGGGGCATGAGGGCAGGGTGTCTGTTTGAAGCATACTGACTCCTTCAGTGTTTCAGTGTTAATTTCACCCTATAATCTCTCACAGGAACACACACACAGCTTGTATTATAGACAGCTGTGGATGAAGAACGACGGCCCGGTTGCTGCTGTGCACTTTCCGTCACCAAAGGAATCCATTGGTGCACCTCAGACTGTAGTTTGTTCTTCGTCCAGGGTTGTTACAGCATGTTACTGTCATCAGCTCACCTTCAGCAAGTTCTGTCCATCTCCAGCACCATCCAGTGGCTGGTTTATATATAGCCATGTACTCTGCTATGCATGTTCATGTTTGGATGCTCTTACAGTGCAGACTCCATCCCTCCATCCCCTTCCATGTGGGATTTGATCTGATAGTAGCGTTGGCTGTATAGAAGCTTTTGACAGAGAAGACTTGGTGAGAAAGAGGAAGGGAGGTGAGACAGAGCACTCAAACACGGCATATGTCCAGCGCAGATCAGCTGAATCCATATTCCAGTCATTGTACAGGAAAGCAGTATGACTTGGAGCTGGCTCTGGGGTGTGTCTCAATGGTCTGACTTTCTCTCTCCTTATTTAATTTCCAAAATCACAGCTATGTTAAACACTCAATAATGAAATAATAAATTAATATGAATTAAACAACAGACAAAACATCACCTATTTGTTGAATGTTGAATATACAGCATTTATAAATTGCACTACCTGGGCCATGAAATGTAAAACCTTATGCAAACTGGTCTGTTACTAAATTTTGGACTCCAAGCTGTTGTTGAATATCTAATTAAGATTTTTCTGACAGACATCATGATTTGAGTTCAGCTTCAGTTCAGTATTTATCGTGCGATGGGTTTAAAACATGCAACTGAGCTTTAACAAATGGAATATCATCAAACGGATGGATGGTATGAATTTTTTAAACCACTGAAGTTAAACTGGGCGTCAGACGTGAGCGAGACGTACATCCTCAGCTGCAGCTTTTGTGATTTGCCAACTGAAATGTTCCAAATTTCAATTTCAATGAATTGTTCATCCCCACCCAACACAACACTCCATGTAACAAGCAGGTGATTCAAATAAAGTGCAGCCACATGATCGTTTGCCTTAACATCTTTATATTCACACACTTACAAGGAGGAGAAGTGATTAAAGACTATTGTGACTCTCTTGACTCATAGATAAATGATACAACAATGTAGCATCGCTAACGCAGGATGAATGTTTTCAGCTTATGTGAAGGCTTGTTCACGGCACCGCACCAAACTCAGGGAACGTTACACACCTCATGTAACCCGGAATGAGTCAACAACCAAACCAGAAGGACCGTCAGCATCACCATATCATTCTGACTATGAGAACAGATCCCCCAAGGCTCAGAGTTAAGCTTTAGTCAGTTATTCTGAAGTTGAAAGAAATACGTTTGTGTTACCCAGAGTCATATGAGAAGAATGATATCTGTTCCACCTGGATGCAGAGAAAGGCTGGGGATGACTAGGCTATGCTGCGTTAATGTTAGCATACTATGACAGTACGTAGCTCCTGTTATTGTGGTTTATTAACATGCCAGACCATATCCGTACACTTCTTACCTCTGTTTTAATTTGCTGAATCCAATAATTAAAATTGGATTAATGTAATTACCAGTGCTGTCGTCCGGTTTGCCATTTTGCCATCAGTTACTCAACACTTCCTGTCAAGTGGGAGATAGCAGCTGTCTGAAATACCTGATATCACTGAATTTAAATAGGTTCTGGAAGGTTTTTCCTACAGTGCCGTCTGGATTTCAGTCTAAACAAAATAGAATAGATCCATATCACTGAAAGCCTACCTTTCATAACAGATTTATCGCGCCCTCATTTACCTGTCGCCTCCAGTCAGTCCATCTTCTAGCTACAAACTCACAGTTAATGTGAATCTTCTCATTTGACCTGAGTTAACAGCAAACCTATTTCTGAATATGTGCGATGTGCTTTAAGTCATTGATCACATGTGAAACCTACCATTTCAGCACACATGATGCCGTACTCCCTGTGTCTGTGTGTGCCTTACAGTACCTACTATCTACAGCACCTACACAGTGTAGCCTAACAACAGATGCCTGCTCTGGCTGATTGTCTTTGCCTGGACACAAACCTTTCTGTTAATGTGCTTCCTTTTTCTTTGTTTTCATTTCTACACCTGTACCTCAGGCTAAAATGCCATTTCTTATGTATAGCTTGGATTGTATCAGTGGTGTGGCTAATGCTTTGTCAGATAAAACTTGTCAGTAGATTTTTTTTCTCTGGGTGCTGTCCAGAATACAGACTTGGCAAATATGCCTTCAACGATTCTCTAATGTACACTTTCCTTCTTTTCTCCTTCATCTCTGAGACCTTTAATTAACACTTTTCTTCTTCTTTCTTCTCTTCTTTCTTTCTTAATGTATTGATTCAGATTGTCACTATTGTCTGTTGACTATAGACTCTTGTCTAATACTGTGAATGGACAGACTTTTTTTTTTCCGAAAACTTTTTCCAATATGCAGCATGGGGCAAAAACTCATTTGACAGGCACCCCTATTTCCCAGATTTCTGACTGACTCATCTGAGAGTTGTTTTTTGCTATAGTTGGACAACAATTGGACACATCTTCTTATGTTTTTCCAACTGCAGTTTGATGTTTGCAGACTGACTTTAAATGACATTTTAGTGACCTCTTAAAGGTACAATAAAATTGTGGAAATGGTGATAAATTCACGCTCAGTGTTGGACTGGATGGCCATTTACATTACACCCCTCCATACTGCAGTCCACATTTAAAGCCTAGCATGAGGTGTGTTTTGAATCAAGTGTAGAAAATATACATCTATCCCCTTATGTGACCACAGACCACAGTGTTTTACCACAACTAAGTACAGCTTTACTGCCAAACATTTTTCAAAACAAAACGTGAAAATTTTTGAACGTGTACTTATTTCCCGTCAGCAGCTGGTTTCCATTAGTTTTGGTTCTGTGTGAAACAACATGCACTTGTTGAAACATGGTGACGCTCTTGGTCTACAAGAGACCAATGAGCCACAACATTAAACTCACTGACATGTGAAGTGAATAACATTGATCGCCTCATTACAGTGCGTATTCTGATGGGAAACCTTGGGTACCAGCATTCATGAGGACGTTAACCTACTTAAATTAGACCAAGCACGTTGCCACAGCACTTCCTCATATCAGCGACCTCACCCAGTGAGTGCACAAGGGGCTGAGTTAGCCTCCAAATTTCCCAGATATCCAATCTGATCAAGCATCCACAGAATGTGGTGGAACAAGCCTCATTAACAGATGTCCCACCCACGAACCCAAAGGAGCTGCTGCCCACGTCCAGTGCCAGAGACCACAGGACGCCTTCAGTTATTCCTGTCAATGCCCCAACAGATCAGAGCTGTTCTGGCTGCGTGTGGACGACCTGTAGGACTGTAATGTTGTGCTTGATTGGTGTACAATGGTTCTACATTTATCATTTTCAGTCAGTGAGCAGCTCATGAAATTTATTACAAGAAAAATGTTCAAATAACGACTTTTTTGATCGAAGGAAATATTGTTAGTGAGCTGTATTGTGGAACAATGAACTGAAGGTGTTGCTCAACGTGTTCATCAAGTAGCTTTGCCAGTATTATGGTTAATATGAACCATCTAAACCCAAAGACAGACAGCTTTCTTTTTTTGTGCAGTTTTCACTTTGCCAGCTGATCAGCGGCCGTAGCTAATTGTTATCCTGCGTTTTGAAGGGTCACTCTGTCAAAGTCTAGTCAGAAGACCTCAATTATTTTTGTTTTATATTTTCCAAAGCTGATTCCTAAATATAGATGTTAAATCAAATGAATCAAGCTGAGATTGGTGATGTGTTGTTATAGTTTCAGCACAGGAACTGTAATTGCAGGGCTTAGCTAGGACTTGGTGGCAGCAGGGTTCATGTAGGTGGGCGGTCAGTGTGGCTGGACCAGGACCAGAACAGGTTGGTGAGGCGGTGTGATTTGGTGACGCTCAGCAGCATTGTGCTTATTGCTGCCACTAGTGGCTGGAAGGTATATTACAACAATAAAGGCGCTTGAAGGTAGAAAACAGTATTTATAGTCTTTTCTCAGTTGGAAGAATTTTGTTTTATTTCATTTGTTTCTGATTTTGTTTTGCTTGAGTTCA